AAAACAAAACAAAACACAAAACATTCGAGTGTTCCTTTTTCGTTTCGTTTTATCCGAGCCCCGGCTTGGTTCCCGGCCACGCCGGAGGGGTCTGCGCTCCCACACTCACCCGAAGGGGACCGGGCTGCAGACTGACCACCGCCCTGCAGAGCTCTCGGGGCCCTGCCCTTTTGGCCACTAGGAAAGGAAACTTGGAAAAGTTGGAGGTATTTTTTAGCCAGCTGTAGAAGTAAGCCGTTCCCCGGGAACTTTCTGCCTGATTCTCTGCGGCTTCCTCGGCTCCCTTTCCAGGCCGCTGACCCCGTGGGATGTAGGGTGCCGGGGGAGGCAGGGATAGAAATTCCCCAAGTTTAGGGTGAGGGGGAACCATGTAAATATGTGAGATATGTACACACTGGCGGGGAGAAGAAACATTTTGTGCTTGGTTTTTATTTCTGGTTTTCTGGGTTACCCCTCTACACCCCATCCTACAGGATTTTGTACACCACTAATCTGAAAAAGATATTTTCATGATTTCCGGATTTCTGACCCATCTCTATTTATTTTCTGGATGTGTTTGGAGCTTCCCCCTTTCTCCATCTCTTGTTCTGTTTGTTACAGTTTGAATTTAAATTTTGTTATTTTTATTAATTTTTTTGGAACAATGTTTTGGTGCATCCTCTTTGTATCTTTATTGGAAAAAAAAATGTAGACTGGGAAGTTCCCTTTATATTTATGTTATAGTAAATATTTTATTACTCACATAAACATGTACCCCAGGGCTGTGTCCTGTCCTCTTTACTGCCAGGGCTGGGTTGGTTTTGGGGTGAAGTCATGGGATTCCCTGGCTCACCTGTCCTGGAGTCCAGCTGCAGTCCAGAAGATGTGGGCGGAAGGTGACCACACAGAGCCTTCCAGGCCAGTGCTAGGACCGCCTGTTACTTAGGCAACAGTTGGGTCTCTGCCCCAGGTGAATGCGTTTTCAGGAAGGTGAAGCTATCTCATATCTCCCTCCCACAAGCAGACTTTGAGACCAGACCAGAACCACCAGACACCACCCTAAACTGGGGAGAGCTGTTCCTCCCATCTGACCCAGTGGCTGTTGGCCATAGAAGAAGCCTGCCTTGACTGGAACCAGCCTGGCATCTCTGTTTTCTTCCTAGCACTCTAACCCCTGATGTTAGTTTCACTTTGTGCTCCACTTGTCCCAACCAGGCCAACTTGGATGTTCTGGGTGTCAGGGCAGATGGCATCTTGAGCCCCATCACCGCATCTCAGCTTGCATCTCTACCCACAGACAAATAATGCCCAAGCCCACCTGGATCTGTACAGAGTCCTAAGGGCTGAGATAGAGATCGGGCTGGTGGTTCCTCAGCGCAACGTCAGCCTGAGGAGGGAGCCTGCCTTGCTTGCTTGCTTGGGCAAAGCCAGTCCTACTTTCAACAAGCCACCTGCCCTAGCTTCTCCTGGAGAGAAGCAAAGGCACAGATAATTGTGTCACTAGAAAGACCTGGCATCTCTCCAGGGGTGGCCCCTCATAGCCCCCACCCCACCTAGGGCATGCTGCTTCTGCCTGTGGGAGGACAGCAGCCCCTCTCAAGCCTTCAGCACCAGCATCCCTGAGGGTTCAGGATGGGTTGAGGCAAGTTAGGATTTCAACCCAAAACCCAAGGTTACCTGTATCCCAATCAAGAGCTTGGGGTTTTTTGGAATCCTTTTAAATAGAAGCAACCTTTCTCTAAAATACTAATAAACCATATTTCTGCTTTCTCGGTAAATGCAGTTCTTTTCCCCCTTCTCTGGGGGACCCGTAGTATTTCTCTAACACTGTGAAGACACTCTCACTTGGCAGGGGAGAAGCCTATGGCCCTGGCCAGGGTGCTCACGACCGTCCCACTAGGGACCCTGGCCAAACCCAGGCCTGGGAGCCACCTTAGCTCCAGCCATGACATGAGATGCCCACAGATGCATTCTCTAGCCCTTCAAGTCACAGTCTTTGACTGGTCACTAGGCTCAGGATGCCTGTGCCATGCTAGGAGTTCTCGGTCACTTTCTGGAATCTGCAACTCAGTCGTGGGGAAAATTGTCTCTGAGAGTACAAAGGCAGCTGCTGCTATTTTCAAAGGCTTGCCTCTTCTTCACTGCTTCTTTAGTTCTGTTCTCCCCCTTTTAGTCCAGCCTAGTGAACTATTAGCCCTGTAATTGGCATCATGTCCCTGTCTCTGCCATTCCCCACGCTGCTAGGTCAGTGGGCCTTCCCAGTGCTCACTGGGGACTGGCCAGCATGGGGGACACACAGCTGGGTGCCACTGGCCACCCAACCCCAGCCTGTCACTTCCTCCTCCCCAAAGCATGCAACTTGGAAGCAATTACGCGTCTCCTGAATTCTCCCTTTCTGGATTTGTCCCAATCTCAAGCCCTGAAATGGAAGCAAAAGAAGCCCCGAGCTCCCGCCACTGGCACCCCTCTGAGCCTCAGCAGGTTTTGAGGCTGGGAATGAGGACTAGAGAGATGGGCCTTTCATTGGCCTCAGCCTGCAGCTGACACCAATTGATTGATTGATTTCCTAATTGTCTGCTTAATCCCATACAAGAGGGTAGGTTTATTATTTAAGCAAGTCAACTCAAAACAAAGCGGGCTTCCCAAGAACCTGCAGCAGCTGAGGAGTAGAACAAAAAGAAAAAAGTAGGGAGAAAGGGATGGAAAGCAAGCTTACACTTTGCAAAAATTTTGTTTAATGAGACACCAGCTACCTGCAGGGACATGGGTGATGTGAAATCCAGGGCTGCCTCCCCCATTCTTCTGCCTAGGGGTGAATAAGAGGAATCGCGGCAAGATTGTCTTTATAAAGGAGAAAACCACAAGGAGAGACATACTGTGTCCCATCAAACCTCACCCCATGGATAGACGAGAGTTTAGGAAATGTAGAGTCAGCTCAGCCTCACCTTGGTCTCTCCACCCTATGTGTACGTGTATCCACCTGCTTGCTAATGAGAACTTCCTTTCGTTCAAGAGAGGCAGATGCCCTTAGCGTGGACTTCAGAGGAAGTCAAAGATTTCTCTAGCAGGTTTGGAGTTTTCTGATTCCACCTCTCTCCTCTTCTCACTTGGAGCAAATGGTCCTCAGGTCAGTTTTGGCACATAGTCTAGTAGTCAGAGATCCCCTCCCCCCATGTGTGTGAACACATGTGTCTACTAAGATGTGTGCAAATCCATGGTTGCTTCCAGAAGCAGGGTGGGGAGGGAATCCACGCCATACTGTTAATGCTTCGAGCTAGGGGGTGGCATTTGTAGGGTGGAGTTTGGCCAACATGGGAAAGGAAGGTGGCTCTTGTGATCTGAACGCACCCTGCCTTGAACAGGAAGCCTGACTGCGCAGCACAGCCTCCCCTAAAGCTGCAGTTGTTGTGTGCCCTCAACTCAGAACCAGTTCATCGCTAACCCGCCTGCAGATTTTCACAAGCAGTAAATCGAATGGGAGGAGACTGCCTGTCTTTATCCTTCAGAGCAGCTGGTAGATCCAGACCATGTGCCTTTGGGTTGCCAATGCAGCACCTCACCTATTAGGGCCACCAGAGCTCTGAGCACTCTTTTAATTTAAACACATACACACAAACAAAGCCCCAACACAAAGTCATACTAACAGCTGACCCTCCACTGGGTGTCTGAGGCTGTGTTCATTGGATTTCTAAAGCAGTAGATTGAAAAGAATGAAAGTGTCCTTTTTTCTCCCTCAGAGCCACTGGTGGGTTTGAACTGCTTAGAGAAGCATGTCCTTTGGGTTAGCACCTCCCTACCGACAAGGCCACCAGAACTCCCCGAGCCTGAGGACACCTGTATCCTCCTATCTCACTCCAGGAAGATTTCCTGGGGTATGTTTTAGACAGCACAAGCCTCATAATCACGCCATGGCCCCAGGACTCGATTGAGTGTCCATAGGACTAGGTCAGCCCCGGCCGCAGCCGCTCACTTATAGCTTCTTGAGGGATAAGCCGCTGCCCTTCCTGGGGCCCTTTCCAGCAAAATCCCCACCTGAACAGGGGGAAACGAGGGAGGCTGGGCATCCAGTCCAGACACTCCTCCTAGCTTCACAATGATGGTCATCTACTGAAGAGCACAGCTTACAGGCCGGCCCAAAGCAGCCAGAGCCACTGATTTGGTCCCTGCCTGGATTATTTGAGGACACTGGAGTGTTCTGCCAACCTCTCAGATTCTCTCTCACTGCCACCTCTGAGGCCTCCGTGTGGGAGGACTGCCCTCTATTGGTCCCTCACTGGGACATGACAGCAGACCGCAAGGCCACCATGGGATTGAACGTTCCCCTCCAGACAAAACAACTTCAAGTAGGCTACATTGTGGAAGAGCTGAAGCAACGTTAGCTTCCCAAGGAAGTAATCCTGGACCATACACATACAAACATATGTGCACACATTCTTCCTGTGACCCTTCCCCCTCAATCCACCACCTCACCGGTTCATACAAGCCACTCTCAGAAATTCCCCATCCTTCTTTCGCTCATTACTTCTCTAGCTCTCCCAGTCATGACCACCACTGTCCCTCCTCGCAAGCCTGCTAAAACCTCCCCAACTCACTCCTTTATACACACTCACACCCATGACCATGTTGTTGTTGTTGTTGTGTACCATAGAGTCAAATCGACCCATAGCTGAACCTCTGGCAGGTTTTAAGAAGCAGTTAATCACATGGGAGGAGATTGCCCATCCTTCTCCCATGGAACAGCTTGTGGCCTTAAACTGTGTGCCTTTGGAATTGTAGTACAGCTTCTTGTCCAGTGCCAGCGCTGGCCGGAAGCAGTTTGGAGTCTCCAGATACCTGACACTGGGATATGCAATTAGGCACACACACACCCCCTTTATAGCACTGATGAGGTCC